CTAATGCATTGGATTGGTTGTTGGACTGGGCCTTACTTAAGAAGACAGAAATATTAAATATAGAAGATTTCAACAACCGATTTGAGTGGCATGGCTATTTATGGTATGAAAAAGCAATGGTCCACAAAGAATTTAAATATCATGTGCCAAGATCACTTCTGAATGTGTGGAATGAAGTCAAAAAGAGAATATACAGGAAAATACCACTTTGGATATCTCTACACGAAGCATTCTTTGGAAAATGGACAGCAGTTAAAATATGGTTGAGATATAAAGATATACTTAAAAGACCAGATGGACAGAAATATGAGTTAAAAACAATGGAAGAATTAGAATAATTGGATCCTAGAATGCACTGGCTACTATATACGCAATTAAGAGATTCGAAATGAACTCTAAACTTCAGGAATTAGAAGAAGAACCATTAGACTTAGATAAAATTCTGACAGATCCAGAGAAAGGAAGAATAAGCAAACTATACAAAATAGTAATGGATAGAGAACAAGAAACTGAAATGATATCGGAGAAAATGATTAAATGGGCAACTGATATTGGGAGAACAATAGAATTAGAAAGTTGGGAAAATGCTAGGAAAAAAACCCAGAAAAATTTACTCAATCGCAGGATTTGAAGGAAAACTTCTGGAAAATGGAACAAAGGTGGTATTTAACTCTCGCTAAGATAGCAAGAATTTACAATGCAAAAACAAACAAATGCTGGAAATGTAAACAAAATGTTGGATTGTGGCTCCACACTTGGTGGAGATGCTCCATAGTGAAAACATACTGGAAAAGAATTCATATTTCAATACAAGAAATGCTAAACATCAAATATGCATTAAGTCCGGAGTTATATTTGCTTAATATGATAAATAAACTAGGACTGGTTATAGAGAAGAAATACTGGAGGATTTTGCTCTACATGTTCACTGCAGCAAGGCTGTTGATAGCTCAGAAATGGAAAACAGAAGAGATACCTTCTGTGGATGACTGGTTATTGAAATTAACAGAAATGAAAGAAATGGATAGGCTAACTGCTTTAGTAGATCATAAAGACTTAAATAGGTTGGACAAAGAGTGGGCTCCAATTGAAGAATCTTTAAAAGCAAGGTGGAGTTAAAGAAGCAAAGTAACTATGGAATACTTAGAAATAAAATAAATAAAAAATGACCTGAACTGTTATATAAAGATGGGAGATACATAAAGAAATATATAAATAATCTGTAAATAAAGAAGGAGGTTTATAACTGATTAATTATTATGATAGCAAGAGCAGTTAAACATATGTAAGAGACATAGAAAGGCATAAATTTATGACTATATAGAACAGGTGCTTACTGTCAAAGAACTATAGGAAGGAATAGTTGGAATATAGTATTTAGAGAATGATTTGATTGTATGAAGTTTATAATGCATAATGTGTCGACCATGTATATTTGAATATATAAATCTTATAAATGCAAAATAATAATCATAATAATAATAATGAGTCAACCGTGTAATGTGGCAGCTAAAAAAGCCAATATGATTCTAGGCTGTATCAATAGACATATAGTGTCTAGATCAGACCTGCATAAACATATGGTCTGAGGGGTGCATGCAGCCACCAAAGGAGTTCTGATGGCCTGCAATGATGTGGAATGACTTCAGGGCTCCTCCATTGCTTGGCCTTCTCCTGAGGAGAGGACCATGGGGAGGAGGAGGAGGAGGAAGGGCAGTCGCTCACCCTGCAAGGCTCCTCTGCTGCTCAGTTGTCTTCAGAGGAGAAGGCCAGGTAGCGGAGGAGGAGAATGGGCAAATACTTGCCCTACAAGGTTCATCTGCTGCTCAGCTTTCTTCCGAGGAGAAGGCCAGGTGGAAAAGGAAGAGGACTGGGAAATGCTTACCTTGCTAGACTCCTCTGCCATCCGGCTTTCTCCTGAGGAAAAGGCCAGACAGAGGAGGAGGAGATGGGATTAATATTAATAATATTTAATATAAATAATTAATATAACTAATATTAAATTAAAACCTTTCTGCAGCCCAAAGAAGTTTAGCCTATTTTCATTTTGGTTCCTTCCTACTGCCAAGTTGTGCAGGTCTGGTCTAGATCAAGGGAAATAATAGTGCCACTCTATTCTGCTTTGGTCAGGCACCACCTGGAATACTGTGTCCAGTTCTGGGCACCACGATTCAAAAAGGATGTGGAGAAACTGGAGTGTGTTCAAAGGAGGGCAACTAAAATGGTGACGGGTCTGGAAACCAAGCCCTATGAGGAACAACATAGGCAACTGGGTATGTTTAGCATGGAGAAGAGAAGGTTAAGAGGTGATACGATAGCCCTCTTTAAATATTTGAAGGGATGTCATATTGAGGATGGACCAAGCTTGTTTTCTGCTGATCCAAAGACTAGAACACAGAGCAATGGGTGCCAACTACTGGAACACTGAGAGTAAGAGCTGTTCGAAAATGGAGAGTGGTGAAGTCTCCTTTTTTGGACATTTGTAAACAGAGGCTGGATGAGCATCTGTCGGGGGGTGCATTGATTGTGAGTTCCTGCATGGCAGCCCCTATGGTGTCTTCCAACTCTATGATTCTATGCCAGTATCTATTCAGTATTTATTCAGTACTTTAGCCACTGGATATTGGCCTTAATTCATTTCTGAATTAGGTAGGAGTCTCCTCACCAAGGACGTTTTCACACTGGGCTTAAGGCAGACGCAATCCTACCTCACT